AAGAAAGAAAGAAAGAAAGAAAGAAAGAAAGAAAGAAAGAAAGAAAGAAAGAAAGAAAGAAAGAAAGAAAGAAAGAAAGAAAGAAAGAAAGAAAGAAGCAGCTGCCCATTTTCAGGAAGTTCTGTTGATTTTTTTCTTCTTTACTTTCAACCCCTCAGCTCTTCCTCAAACAGGACTTCTCACTCCATCCCTACAGAGAACTTCTTCCTTGGGGGGCAGCTATGAAGGTCATTATTCTTACAAACACTGGCCACAAATGCAGCAAAGCATGGTTGAGAGTACCCCAGCTATTAGTCAGGGGACCTGAGGGCTAGTCCTGGATCTATCAGGGGACATGTCCATACAATTCTCTAAGCTTCCAGTTTCCTTTCTCTCAAACGGGAATGAGATGAGCTCTACCAAACTCCAAAACATTATTGTGACCAAAATGGAGGACAAGTGCTTCTCTGAATTAAACTGTTTTTCAAAGATAAGGTAGTTTTAGAGACACTGCTGAGTTCATCAACCTGTCATCCAGGTGAGTGAATTCTTCCAGACAGGACTCAATAGATATTAGTTTCCTGCCTGATGAACTCTACCTATCTTTTGAACTCATGTTAAAATGCCTCCACCTCTGTGAAATCTTAGACCTAATATGTAATTAGCAGCCTCCTTTATGAAGTCACGCTACATACAGGCACACTTCATTTTATGGCATTTTGCTTTATTGTACTTCACAGATGTTGCGTGTTTTACAAATTGAAGGCAAGACCCTCCACCAGCAAATAGATTACAACTTGCTTTATTGTGGGCGATACCCTCTTTATTGCGGTGGTCTGGAACTGAACCCACAATATCTCCGAAGTATGCCTGTACCTTATCTCATTTAATCTTCATAGCAGCCATGTGTGGTAGCTACCATTATGAGTCTCATTTTTAAAATTTTTTTTTAAATATGTTTTTATTGATTTCAGAGAGAGGAAGGGAAAGGGAGAGAGAGAGAGAAACATCAATGATGAGAGAAAGTCATTGATTGGCTGTTCCCTGCACACCCCTACTAGGGATCAAGCCCAAAACCCATGTAGGTGGAATCAAACCAGCAACTTCCTGGTGCATGGGTCAGTCGATGCTCGACCACTGAGCCATGCCGGCCAACCTTGAGTCCCATTTTTTTTAGATGAGGAAACCAAAGCACAGAGTGGCTATGGGACTAGCTCCAGGTGACAGTCTATAAATAACAGAGCCAGGGATATCATAAAAAATGAATTATTCTCTGCTCCTATAGCACTTTGCTTATACCTGTAGTCCTTAACCCACAGTCCATCCCTCCTTCACTAGATTATGAGTTCCTGGAGGGCAGGGCCCTATCTTCTTATTTATCTGACAAAAGTACTCAGTGAGTGTTAGAAAAGTGAATGAGTTGGAGTTGAACAGAATGGAATGGAAGGAAATGCGAGGGAGCTAAATGAAGTAACTGGCTGGCCTGGGATTTCCAGCCCTAGAGTGCCTTGTCTTGCCAGTCAATTCCACAAGATTTCAGCCCACCTCTTCTGGTCACTGCCATTAGACAGCCATTTGAGAGTGCAGGAAGAGCTAGTGTCTTTGCTTCCCGTCTTCAGGCACACTGCTGTTGGCGTTCAGGAGACACTTAGTGAATATCTGTGGAAACTGAACTCCTCAGAAAATGGATTTATTTTCCATGTAAGAATATGCCTCCAACTTTCTCTCAATCTCCAAAAGTGGCCCAGGGTTCCATAAGCACAGACTCTTTATGGAATTCTTCCTAAAAAATAAAAGCTGTGGAACACATTGGAGGGGAAGATAAGATAGAACATGAGAGTCTGTTATGAAACAGAGCAAATAATGATAGGATTTTCTAGCTCAAATCAGGTTAGAGCTGCTCAAAAGTTAAATGTCTAATAAAATAGTAATAATAATCACTAGAAGAGTAATTAATGTTTACTGAGTATTTACTGTGTGCCAGGCACTGTGCAAAGTTTTTCAAATGTATCATCCTGGTTAATCCATATAAAAGTCCTATAACGTGGCCACTACTATAGTCCCTGTTTTCCAAATAAGGAAATTGAGGTTTAGAGAGGTCAGTCAGCTTGTTCAAGCTCTCACAAACATAAGTGGAACACAAACTGAGGTTAGAAGCCAAGCTAGTCTGATAACCAGGTTTGTTGTTGTTGTTTTAATCTCCTTTTAAAAACCAAGTTTTAATCAGTATACTTTATGACAACACATTTTAATTATCTTTAAAATAAGATCAGGTGGGAGATATGTATAGTTTAACTGTTGAGTGAGGATGTTCTCGGTAGTCTTGGATGGCATGGGATCTGTATACCCTTATGCAATTCAGCTTCTATTTCCCAAGAGAGTTTGCTGCCTGAGTGGCCCTGCAGAGTGAGTCTTTATAAATTTGTATTCAATCCTTGCTTTCATTCTCTTTCATTCCTGGGGGTCTGAGACAACCACTCAGCCCCCCTACACTGCTTCACCAAACTCCAGCCCAGCCCATGGGTCTATTCGATTTCCAAGCCTAGGCATAAAGTTTGGGGCCTCGGACTGAAATAGATGCCCCTGTGAGCCAAGGTGGGAACCCAGACCATTAGTGAGGCTAAAGAGATATGTAACTACACTGCTGAACTGGTGTTAAGATTTATTGGTCCATTCTCACCACTTTTTACTTCTTTCATTTTCATCCCCTTCGACAGCCATCGGTTACTGATCGTTTTCAGCTGAGACTGGCAGACTCAGTCCACTAATGGCAGAACTGAGACAAAAGTGGGATCTACTACACCGAGCCATCATCCCAGCCACTTAGACAGGGAAATTGTTTTTCAGGGTTTTATGGTGCCATCTCTGCATGCCCTTTAATAAATGCTTGCTGTCCATAAATGAAGCAGAGATGGAAGAAGAGGTGAATAAGTGCTAGCATAAATTGCAGTTGGGTCAACCACAAATACAGGCTTTCAAAAAAATGGTGTGTTGTTTTTTTAGTTTAGGTTAAGGTGCTTGCTAATTTCTAAAGGACTTCCTGGGTTTTATTAGTGTGCCAGATGCATCAAAAATTGCTATTTCAAACCTTTACTTTGTAATCCATGCATTAGACTGGAAGGTCGCTTTAAAAATAAAAGGATAAAGATCAGAATGTAATGCGTGCTTTTCACCAGTATATGTCTCTTACTGATTCACCAGCTCCATGCTAAGTAATGGATATTGAAATTGAAATAAGCAGGCTCTGAAAAGCTATGGCTGACTTTGACTTTTAGTTTGGGGGCACATGCATTTCTTTTTAGGCATGATTCATATCTACAAGGGAAAATTGGCAAATAGTGGGAGAAATGCTTTTACTGTACACACTTTATTTGTGTAAGTAACGACTGCAAGTGGTTTTAGCATCTATACCCCAGTTACTTTCCATTGTCCTGAATCATATCCAGGAGCTGAATGCTTGTGTGGTCGGGCTGACCATTTCTCCACATGCTATGTGTGCCTTGTTGCTTTGCAGCTCGGCTTTGGATCATTCCTTGGAATCATCGGATCCAACCTTATTGAGAACAAACGGCAGATGGTAAGTTTTCATTGCTATGGAATCAAATTCTTCGTCTGAAGGTAACACATTTCTTAGGGTTGCACAAGTTGGGCCACAAAAGAAACTGCTACTTTGCCTTTTCACTTAAGTCTCCAGGGAACTTTTCGGTGACCCTGTGGTATGGGACTTGATCTTACCTTGTCTGATGCTCCCTTGGTGGCCTCACTAGTCTCCTTTAGTCACAGGGACAGGATATTTTGGATCTTGCCCTTGGCTTTCCTCCTCACTCCCAAAGGACCTCCCCAGCCTATCCGGTCAGGCGACTGTCCTCACCTACAGTGCCTTTGCTTCTGTGATTTTCATTGCCACAGCTCTGGATTATTGGTGACTCTCACATCTTCCTCTCTGATGCATAACCTTTTGAGGAAGTTTTTTCAGAGGGTTCCACTTTTTAGGAGATTATAATCTAGAGTACTTTGAATAGGAGAACAAATATACTTGGGGCACATAAGAGACAAAATAAAATTATGGAGCCCTAAAGTATTTCCATTACCTATAGTTCAAAACTAAGTATGTTGTAAGCTTGAAAGGGAGGATGAGCATATATAGTAGGAGGTAAAACTTAGAAAGTTCTGTGTCCTAATGGGTAAGCTGTTGTATTTTCCTGGTCCAGTCTGAGAAAGCTTCCTAGAGGGCAGGGGAAGAAGGTCCAGACCGAATTGCAGTTTTATAGGGCTTGTAAATCAAGATGCCTGGTGAGTGGTCAGATGGTGGACTGATTAGGCTCCCCCAGTATAAGTCTCTATGGCATCTTGACTCTGATGACAGGGTCTATTTAATAGCAAGTTTAATCAGATAACATAATAGCTCCAGGGACAGAGAACTCTAACCATATGTTCTCCCCCAGCAACATGGGGAATTGCCCTCAGGAGAGTTCTAATAGTTCCAATCTTCCATTTTACCTGGAC